AAGTTTTTTTTTTTTTTAATTTATTCAGGATATGTGTGTGTGTGTGTGTGTGTGTGTGTGTGTGTGTGTGTGTGCGCGCGCCAGTCCTGGGATTTGAATTAAGGGCTTGGGTGCTGTCCTTGAACATTTTTTTTTTTTGCTCAAGATGTTCTACCACTCATTTCCAGCTTTTTGGTGGTTCATTGGAGATTAAGAGTCTCACAGACTCTCTTGCCTGGGGTTGGCTTTGAACCACAATCCTCAGATCTCAGCCTCCTGAGTACTTAGGATGACAGGCATGAGCCACCAGCTCCTGGTTTTGGGCTTTTTTTTTTAAATGTGAATAAGTAGAGTGTGACCAGTAACAATAGTAAAAAAAAAAAAAAAAGAAAGAAAGAATAATAGTTCTTTCATGGAGAGATAACAGAAAGTCTTCTTCAATTAAGTACATCTTGATTCCCACTCAATTTCAGTTAACTAAGTGAATGATGTACACTCCTATTTGTCACCACTCTGCTTCTCCTTTGGTCATTAAGTTATAAGGGGGAAAAGGATAAAAATTTTACACACGAGTTTTGAAAAGCCATAATATTGAGTCTGAAAGATTCTCAGATAAAACACAGTCCTGCGTGCTCTTTTCTTGAGCTTAGAACTCATAAGATCTGCTCAAAGAATTAAGAGTCAATGGGAATTAAAACAACAACAACACAAAAACATATGGATAGCTGGATGCTGGTAACTCATACCTGTCATCCTAGCTACTCAGGAGGCTGAGATCCGAGGGTTGTAGTTCAAAGCCAGCCTGGGCGGGAAAGTCCAAATGAATCATACCTTCAAATTAACCACCAAAAAAAAGCAGAGCTGTGGCTCAAGTGGTAGAGCACCACCCTTGAGAATAACAACTCAGGGACAGTGCCCAGGCCTTAAGTTCAGACCCCAGGACTGGCACCAAAAAGAAAGAGGAAGAGGAGGAGGAGGAGGAGGAGGAGGAAGAGGAGGAGGAGGAGGGGGAGGAGGAGGCCAAAAAGAAAGAGGAAGAGGAGGAGGAGGAGGAGGAGGAGGAAGAGGAGGAGGAGGAGGAGGAGGAGGAGGAGGTAGAACAGAGCATACAAAAGTGCCGCACGCAACTTTGACAGGTCAGGGTTCCTAACTGGATTGAAGGCTGTGTCTAACCTGTCTAGATTCCGTGGTTTCACAACTGTGTTGTTGAACTCTCAGTGCCTAATAGATGAATGGATAAATTCACAGTATTGACGGAACAGCTTTGAATAGAAGGGCAGAGTATTTCCTCAATGCCTTGTTATCAGGAGAGCCGATCTAGAGCAAAAGCTAATTGTGAGGTTGAAATAAACGTTTAATCAAGGGGCTGGGAAGGTGGCTCAGTAGTAGAGTGCTTGCCTCGCATGCATGAGGCCCTGGGTTCAATTCCTCAGCACCACAGAAGCAGAAAAAAGCTGGAGGTGGCTCAAGTGGTAGAGCACTTGCCTTGAGCTGAAGAGCTGAGTTCAAGCCCCACGACCGACAAAAAAAACAAAAACAAAAACAAAAAGCCAACAACTCATCAAAAATAAGACAATGAGGCCAGGTGTGGGGGGCATATGCCTGTAATCCCAGCACTTGGGGAGTCTGAGATTCAAAGATTGAGAGTTTGAAGGCAGTTTGGGTTACATGGGTAAGAGCCTGTCAGAAGGAAAGAACTGGCAGACAGAGAAGATGAGAGAAAGAGACAAGGAAAGACAGAGAAAGGAGAGAGAGATGAGAGAAACAAAGAGACAGAGACAGACAGGGGAGAGAGACACACACAGAGAAGAGGGGGAGGAAGAAGGGGGAAGAAAGAAGGGAAGGAAGGAAGGAAAGAAGAAAAAGAGGGAGGGAGAGAGTAAAGAAGGAGGGAAGGAAGGAAGGAAGGAGGAAGGGAGGGAGGGGATTGGCAGGTAACTAACGAGATAGCCAAGAAGCTCTTGCAAGGTCCCTCAAGTATCTAACCCTAACACACACACACACACACACACACAACTAATTCTTCACGCTAATTTCTCCATGCCAAAAGCACCATGGGTCTCCCACACACTACATTCCAGGGCATTCCATGACCACACAACAATGGGAGCATGTGGGGATGGGTGTATGTCATCACCCTCCCCACAGGCCGTGTGGGAAAAACCCACTGTTCCTCCTCCACAGGTGGGGACGCCAGAACAGAAGGCTTTTCCTCCTCCCACTCCTACAGACTCCCAAGAATCGGTGTCATCTTAGCCTACGGGATGGGACTGACAGGAAGGGGATGGATGGAAAGCTAGAACTTCTCCCAGATGGTCTTCATCCACACCCCACCCCCACCCCTCGTGAGAGGCAGGGGCAGGGCTCACCCCGAATGAAAGGCTGATGGGTCCAGCCAGGTGACTAGGCTTGTGTGTTGAAACAATGTCAGGTCTAGAATGCAACTTCAAACTTGATGTTGAGATGCTGCAAGGGTTCCCCAAATGTCTTCGGGGGTGACTTAAAAAAAAACTTGTCAACAGACTTATTTTTCTTTAAGGTTGGTTTGGGCTTGGTCTTTTGGGGTTGGGGGTGTGTGAGGGGGTACTGGGTGGTTTTGAACTTAGGGCCTTGTATGCTTGCCTGGCTTTTGGCGTTTGAGGCCACACAGCTCTCCTTCCAGCATTTTTGTCCGTTAATTAGAGATAAGAGTTTCATAGGGCTGAGAACATGGCTCAGTGGTAGAGTGCTCGCCTAGCACACATGAAGCCGTGGAGTCGATTCCTCAGTCCCACATACACAGAAAAAGCCGGAAGTGGCGCTGTGGCTCAAGTGGTAGGGTGCCAGCCATGAGCACAGAGCAGCTCAGGGACAGTGCCCAGGCCCTGAGTTCAAGCCCCAGGACTGGCAAAAATTAAAATAAAATAAAGAATTTCATAGGCTTTTCATCCCAGGCTGGCTTTGAACTGCCATCCTCAGATCTCAGCTTCCTGAGTAGCTAGGAGGACAGGTGTGAACCACTACAGATGGGTGTTTTTGTCCATTTAAAAACAAAACCAGGGGCTGGGAAGGTGGCTCAGTGGTAGAGCGCTTGCCTTGCATGCTCGAGGCCCTGGGTTCGATTCCTCAGCACCACATAAGCAAAAAGAAAAAAGCCAGAAGTGGCGCTGTGGCTCAGGTGGTAGAGTGCTACCTTTGAGCTGAAGAGCTGAGGGACAGCGCCCAGGCCCAGGATTCAGGCCCCACGACCGGATCCAAAAAAACAAAAAACAAAAACAAATAAACTACTTCTATTGGCTATGTGAGAGCTTGCAAAGTCCAAATACCATGTATGGTAGGAAAAGAGGCTATCATGATTTCCAGACTTTTCTTCCTTACAGTTGTAGGATTAATATATAGTATATATTATATAACATATTATATAATTATATATTAATATATAGTATATATTAGTATATATCATTAGTATGTTATAATATAATATATAACAATATTATATTATCACTATATGTTATTATATATAGTATATTATATTAATTGATTATATTATTTATAGTATATTAATGATATTTGCTTGTTTATATTATGTATTATTTAATTTATAAGTATATTAATTAATATAACCACTACATTACTATGTATAATCATAAATACATAATATATAACTAAATTTTATTTATTTATGTATTACTGGCCTACCTCCTAAAGCCAGGCTAGCTAGTGTTTCTTTTCTTAAGTACCCTCCCACACACACACCCAACACAGTATCACAACATTCCCCTCCCAAAAAAAACAGAAAAAGAAAAAAAAGTTACAAGATACACTGAACATCAAAGAAACACAGGCTCTCTGAAGGTGAGCCTTCAGTTCACAGCCTCGCCTGACCTCCTCCCCCCTCACCCCCGCAGGGAGGCCTCTGTGGGAGATTGGGATACCCTTGAATTCAGAAATATTTGGACGCGATTTGCATGTCAAGCCCTGCCTCCAACTTCCTGAAATTTTTTTTCTTTACTGTTTATGAAGGTGGCTCCTCCCCCCATCTGTCAATCCCTTGATTAAATAGCTTCTCTTCCCAGTGAGTTCCCAAGCTGTACTGACTCCTGCCATCAACAGGTTGGTTGTTGGTTTTTTTTTTCCACCCCCCAACATGAGATCTACCTTCCTGGGCAGGACCCCGACAGCCCAGCACCCCGGCTTTCTGCTTCTTCTGCTCTCTCTCTGGCTACACCCAGGTGCTGTAGGCAAAGAGTTGAAGTGTGCAACACTGGTGAGTACACTTTTCTCCTGGCTTTTCCTTCGGAAACCCTGGCACCCAGCAGAGTCATTGTTTTCTTTCCCCTCCCCGTGTCATCTCGGATAGAGCCAGCTTCAGACCACCCCGTGAATAATCAAGTTTTACAAGTTCCTCTTCATGAAGACAGAACATGTCTTGACCAGAAAAAAAAAAAAAAAAGTTGTGCTGATTTTTTTTTCTTCTCCATTTGCTTTTTGCCTACATTGTTAGTTATTGGCTTTAGGACTCTCGAACTCTGATTCCTTTCTGACCAGTCACACCTTCGGTCCAACCAGTCCACACACCACACCGGCCACAGCAGGTGCTGTTTATATAGTAAGAGATAACCTAGTTTCGTAGCATTTAATGATTATTTATTTGCAAACCAAGAAAACTGTGTCTCTCTTTCTCTCTCTCTCTTTTTTTTTTTAATTAAATAGCTCCTTCTGCTTACATTGGTCGGAAAATAGGAACACCTACTGGGTAAACAGTCTTTGTAGCATCAAAGAGAAACTAATCTCCAGGGTTTTAGACCAATTTCCTGAAGTATAGATCTAGTGGATCCTAAAATGCAGGTTTTTTTCCCTACGTTGTTTCTGTGTCTTATTTTGTTGTTGTTGTTGTTTTTCTTTTGCAGTTTTATCAACTTCGTGGGTAGGCAAAATGCTACGTGTTCATTTCTGCCTACAGGACAGTTTGTCTATGTCTTATTTTATTCCCCTGTTTCTTTCTCTCTCTGCTCCTCTTTTCTTTCACAAGCTCTCTTGCCTTCTTGCATTTATACATAGATAACCTGATCTGGCAAAAATAGACTGATACGTTTTCTTTCTGTACGAATACCCAAACTATTTTTATAGTTTGGAGGAAGGTTGTTATTATTATTATTTTATTTTAGATATGAAACTTAAACATGGAGTCTTCTCTAAGTACCGTGTATTCAGGGCTTCTGTCTCTACTGTCTACAAAACAGATGATAACCATATGTTTATGTAAATCACGGTTCTTGGCCTAGTACATCTTGACCAGGTCAGGCGTCAACAACGCTAGAGTCAAAAACCCAGAGAACTGTACCCTGTTAAAAGGAAACTACCAGTTCGTTCTTTGTGTTGTTGTGTGTGCTGGTCCAGGAGTTTGAACTCAGAGACTGAATTGTTGTTTTTCTCTGAGCTTTTAGCACTCTTACCACTTGAGCCACAGCTCCATTTCCAGCTTTTGGTGATTCACTGGAGGTAAGAGTCTCATGGGGTTTTCGGCCTATGCTGGTTTAACCCTGAATCCTCAGATCTCAGCCTCCCAAGTAGCTCAGATTACAGACGTGAGCCCCAAATGTGTGGCTATACCAATTAACTCTCAAATGGAGACTACAAGTTAATACTTCCCTCAGGTAAACCCATATACCAAGATAGCACTCTCCTGGAACTAAAAACAAACAAGCAAACAAATATTACATGAAGGGAATGTGAGCTGATTCCTATCATGGCTTGTTCCCTTTAATGGTAAATAAAAGGAAAATTAACCCGTAACAAAACAGCTTTGCCCTATTGACTTAAGCCAAAAAAAAAATATCACTCTCTTCCTTTTATTGGTTATAGAGACTATGTAACTATAAATGATTAAGCTGTATATTCTGGATCATCCTTAGAAAATTATCAGAAAAGGGCTGGGAAGGTGGCTTGTCTTGCATGCCTGGGGCCCTGGGTTCGATTCCTCAGCACTACATAAGCAAAAAGAAAAAAGCCGGAAGTGGCGCTATGGCTCAAGAGGTAGAGCGCTAGCCTTGAGCTGAAGAGCTGAGGGACAGTGCCCAGGCCCAGAGTTCAGGCCCCAGAACCGGACCCCCCCAAAAAAAAGAAAGAAAGAAAATTATCAGGAAAGCCAGAATGAAAGTACCAGTGTTTAGTTAGGCACTGGGGGCTCACATTTGTATTACTAGCTACTCAGGAGGCTGAGATCTGAGGATCGCAGTTCAAAGCCAGCCCTGGGGCAGGAATGTCTATGAGACTCATCTCCAACGAACCACTTAGAAAACCAGAAGTGGCGTTGTGGGTCAAGTGGTAGAGCGCCGGCCTTGAGCTGAAGAATGTTCGTTCAAGACCCATGACCACCACCAACAACAACAAAAAAAGAGTACAAACACAAGAATCAGACCACATGAGCGTGAATGCCAGCTCAATCCCTCATGAGCTGTGTGATTTTAGGTAATTTAGCCCTTTCTGTGCCCCAATATCATCGTCAGCAAAATGGGGATAATAGCACCTCAAGGACTTGTTGTAAGGCTTCAGTTGACATGTAAAAGTTTTAATAAGCCGATTTGGTAAATGCCTCAATGGTTGTTAGCTATTACTAATGTTGCATGTACACACAATTTCTCTGCATGGGTCTTAACAATGTTCACATAAGCAGTTAATTAAGATGCCAAGCATTTTTCTAATTATTCTCAAAAAGATAAAGTATGTCTTTTAAAAAGTTTCATCAGTTTTCTTTTCAGCTTTGAGTCTCTGACCTGATCAAATACATGATCAAAACTGTGATTCTAGAGCTGGGTGCCAGTGGCTCACGCCTGTCATCCTAGCTACTCAGGAGGCTGAGATCTGAGGATCACAGTTCAAAGCCAGCCTAGGGCAAGAAAAGTCTATGAGACTCTTAACTCCAAATGAACCACCAGAAAACCAGAAGTGGCACTGTGGCTCAAGTGGTAGAGCATTCACCTGGAGCTGAAGAGCTGAGGGACAGTGCCCAGGCCTAGAGTTCAAGCCCCAAGACTGGCACATGTGCGTGCTTGCTCTCTCTCTCCCTCCCTCTCTCTCTCTCTCTTTTCTCTAATGTGTTTCTGAGAGTCACACAGTATGTTCAGATTTTCCTTGACTTACCACTCCATTGACTTCCTTTAAGACTTTTGTCTAGAAGAAGCTACTGCCCTTTTGTTTGCTTTTGTTTTCTTTTCTTTTTTTTTTTTGAGTCTGGTCATGACTATCTCTCAGCTCTTCAGCTCAAGGCTAGTGCTCTACCACTTGAGCCACAGCGTCACTTCCGGCTTTTTTCTTTTTGCTTATGTGGTTCTGAGGTATCGAACCCAGGGCCTCAGGCATGCAAGGCAAGCACTCTACCACTGAGCCCACCTTTCCAGCCCTGCTTTTATTTTCATTGTTCAGATTTGAACAACATTTATCTACAGGCATGAAACTTCTTAAGACCTACAAAATCTTTGTTTCTTTCACTTCTATTAAAGTAGCATTGCAACGAGAGCTAACAGGTTATGAACAACCACCAGATGCCAGGCACTTAATTTTTTTCTTCTTTTTTGAGTTTCCCAAGCCTCCCTCAAGGCATACTAAACTAATATAAGCTCAGTATTGCATACAAGTTAAAAAAAAAAAAAGCTGAAGCTTACCTTTAGTGGACCAGAGACTCAAGATGTAATTGTGATAATGGCATATCAAGAGCTTCCGGCCTGGCATAGGTGTAGTCCCAGTTATTCCAGAGATCTGGAGGATGACAGTTCAAAGTCAAACCATCAGAAAGCTGGGCTGGAGGCATAGCTCCAGTGGTAGAGCACCAAGGAGGAGGAGAAGGAGGAGGAGGACGAAGAAGAAGTTTGGGCTGAAATGATAAATGGTGTCTATGTAGATAAATTCTACTCCCAAGGAGTAGCCTGCTGTGAAAGGAATCAGTGTAAAGACACATCTTGCACTCCTCAAGATTAATAAACCTTTATCCAGGGCCCAGGAGGAGGAAGAAGAGGCCTGTAGGAAATGGAAATGCTCTGCAATGCACACACACAGGCAGCAAAGGTGTGGCGGGCTTTCCAGTTTTCAGGTCACATTTCAAATTCCTGCTTTGACAAATAGCCAGTCACTATGTCACCCTGGGAGAATGACTTAGACATTCCCCGGCTCAGACAAACATTTGCCTTATCCTGGAAAGGCATTAATTCTACTGAGTGGCTTTTTTTTTTCATTTTCCTGTGCACATAAAGTGTCAGTAGGAAGAGTCGACTACAGGTTAGATAGAAGCATGCCAACAGTTAAACACACACACACACACACACACACACACACACACACAATAAAACAATAGTACTGGGGTTTGAACTCAGAGCTCCACACTTGCTCAGATGTTACTCTACCACTTGAGCCATACTCCCAAACTTACCTTTTGATGATGATGACTATTATTATTATTGGTCAGTTGTGGGGCTTGAACTCTGGGTCTGGGCGCGGCCCCTCTTCAGCTCAAGGCAAGCCACAGCACCACTTCCGGTTTTCTGGTTGGTGGTTTACCGGAGAGAAGAGTCTCAGGGACGTTCCTCCCCAGGCTGGCTTTGAACTGTGATCCTCAGATCTCAGCCTACTGAGTAGCTAGGATGACAGGCGTGAGCCACTGGCACCCGGCTTGATAATTTTTTTTTGGTGGGGGGGTATGGTGTAAATGTTTCTGGCTAGGTTGGCCTCCAACCGGGATCTTTCAGATTTCAGCCTCTTGAGTAGTTAGAATGACAGACATTAAGTCATCAGTGCCCAGCTACATTCTGTATGTAAAAAATCAAAGAAGTAATGCATCTAAATGGCCAAATAGCTCAAGATCAAGAGCAAACGTGGCCTCCTTAGCTGAGTAAGTGATAAAAGAGCAGAGCCCCAGAATATCATCATGAGGACTTGGATATACTTTCTCTCTCTGACCTGTATTTAGATGTAATTGTACTCGGCTACGATCCAGTCGGTTTGACGTGTTTCTCTGGGAGGCGTTGAGACATGTTGTGAGCTCTTTGGATGGGATAGCCCATAGAAACACAAATAAACCATCTCTCTTGGGGAGGAAGGGGAGGTGTGCCAGTTTGCACACATTTGATAGACTTGATAAAGACGACTGAATGAGTCCGGGCACGGGTGGGTCACGCCTGTCATCCTAGCTACTCAGGAAGCTGAGATCTGAGGATCAGGGTTCAAAGCCAGACCGGGCCAGGAAAGTCTCTGAGAGTCTGATCTCCAATGAACCACCAGAAAACCAGAAGTGGTGCTATGGCTCAAGTGGTAGAGCGCTTGCCTTGAGCTGAAGAGCTCAGGGACAGCGCCCAGGCTCAGAGTTCAAGGCCCACAACCGACCAAAAGAAAAAAAAACCTCTACAATGGGATATATATATATATATATATATATATATATATACACACACATATGTGTGTGTATATACATACATGCATACACATATGTGTGTATACACACACAGAGACATATATTTTTCCCCTTTTAGGTATTTCGGCATGGAGACCGAAGTCCCATTGAAACATTTCCCAATGACCCGATTATGGAGTCCTCTTGGCCACAAGGATTTGGCCAGCTCACCCAGGTTGGTTGGTTGGTTGGTTGGTTGGTTGGAGTTTTCAGCCCCAGATGCGAAGGGGTATGTGGAAGCTTCTTGGTTGGTCAGTTCATTCTCTGTGCAGCCAAAGGCTGGAGAGCACTGTCTTTAAATGGACCCTTAGCCCTCATGGAGAAGAGCCAAGGGATGTATTCGAGGGCCACCTTTGCCCCTTCATAGCCTACCATCTTCTAGCTCTTTAAGGAAGAGATGGGGCTGGGTATTGGTGGCTCATCCTAGTTACTCAAGGAGGCTGCGATCTGAGGATCATGGTTCAAATCCAGCCCAGACAGGAAAAGTCTGTGAGACTCTTTATCTCCAAGGAACCACTCAGAAAAACAGAAGTGGCGCGATGGCTCAAGTGGTAGAGCGCTTGCCTTGAGCTGAAGAGCTGAGGGACAGTGCCAGGCCCTGAGTTCAAGCCCCATGTATCCTTCCTAGGATCTGTGGTCCCAGTTTCCCCTGGCTTGTGCTTTATCCAGTGATACCCAAAGTTTCTTCCAGAGTATGGAGTTGGGGCTCTTCTGGGAAACTTTAGACTAACCACAAGATTCCCATAATGTACTTGTTTCTCAAGCTCCCACGTGCAAACATATCACTTGGGTGTCTCACTCAAATATAGATTGGGGCCAGGCATGGGAGCTGGGGTGCTAAGAAATCAGGAGGCCAACATCTGAGGATCACGGGTTTGAAAGCCAACCAGGGTGGGAACATCCATGAGACTCTTATCTCCAATCCATCACCAGGAAGCCAGAAGTGGAGCTGTGGTTCAAGTGGTAGAGCACCACAGCCTTGAGCAAAAAAAAAAAGGGCTGGGAAGGTGGTTCAGTGGTAGAATGCTTGCCTTGCATGCATGAGGCCCTGGGTTCGATTCCTCAGCACCACATAAGCAGAAAAAGAAAAGCCAGACGTGGCACTGTAGCTCAAGTGGTAGAGTGCTAACCTTGAGCTGAAGAGCTGAGGGACAGCGCCCAGACCCAGAGTTCAGGCCCCACGACTGGACCAAAAAAAAAAAAAAGCTAAGAGACAGCATCCATGCCCTGATTTTGGGTTCCCCACGACTGGTACACACACACACACACACACACACACACACACACACACACACACACAGAGCAGATTCTAAGGCACAAGGCTGATTTGTGGTAAGCTGAAATTCTGCATATTTAACACACTTCCAGACAATGATAATGGTACCAGTACGTGGACCACTTGTGTGTGTGTGTGTGTGTGTGTGTGTGTGTGTGGTAGTACTGAAGTTTGAACTCAGGTTCCCATACTTCCTAGGAAGGTACTCTACCATTAGAGCCATGCCCCAAGCCCCCCCTCACCTTTTTTTTTTTTTTGCTCTAGCTATTTTCCTATATATAGATCTACTTTTTCTCCAGGATAGGCCCCAGATAGGCAAGCTTCTGAACCTCTGACTCTAGCTGTACTGCCATTACAGGTGTGTATCACCACCCGGGATGTTTGTTGGCACAGAAGCTTGCTAACTTCTTTTGGCTTTTTGTTTTTGTTTTGGCCTGGGCAGCTGGCCCAAACTGTAACCCTTCAGCTCTCGGTCCCCTTCAGTAGCTGGAATTACAGGTGTATATAGTATACCCTGCCATAGAGATAGTAACAGGTATCTGGAGGTCAAATTCCTATCCTCAGCCTGGGTGTTTTCTTTTTCTTTTTCTTTCTTTTTTTTTTTTTTTTTTTTGTCTGTTGTGGGCCTGGGCGCTGTCCCTCAGCTCTTCAGCTTAAGGCAAGCACTCTACCACTTGAGCCACAGCACCACTTCTAGTTTTCTGGTGGTTCATTGGAGATCAGAGTCTTATAGACTTTCCTTCCCTGGGCTGGCTTTAAATTGTGATCCTCAGATCTCAGCCTCCTGATTAGCTAGGATGACAGGCGTGAACCACAAGCACCTGGCTGGGTGCTTTCAAATCATGGTAATGTTGAGTGGGGGAAATCTCTCCAGCACCAAAATCTCCAACCCGTGCTCACTGGTTAGCAGCATGACTTCACAGCTGTCAGGAATGCAGATTCCTGGGCTCTGTCCTGTACACAGTGCATCAGAAATGTATGTTGCTGCTTTTATTTTTATTTTGTTGTGTTTTTTCCCTCCTCCCTCTTGTAGCTTGGCATGGAGCAGCATTATGAACTTGGCCAGTATATAAAGAAAAGATACAGAAAGCTCTTGAATGAGTCCTATAATCGTGAACAGGCAAGTTGGGGGAGTCCACTCTTAAAATAATGAAAATAATATGTGGGGGGAAAAAAGGTTTTCCTGGTTTTTTTGTTTTGGAAAGGGAGGGGGAACTTGTATAAGTCAAAGCTTTCATTTACACATGAGATCGTTTATAGATTTTTGCTTATAGGATTAGGGGATTTTTTTTCCCTCTTAAATTTTTTTTTGTCAGTTGTGGGACTTGAACTCAGGGCCTGGGCGCTGTTCCTCAGCTCTTCAGCTCAAGGCAAGCACTCTACCACTTGAGCCACAGCGCCACTTCCGGCTTTTTGCTTATGTGGTGCTGAGGAATTGAACCCAGGGCCTCATGCATGCAAGGCAAGCGCTCTACCACTGAGCCACCTTCCCAGCCCCTCCCTCTTAAACATCTGTAGGAATATAACTTCAAATCTCTATGGATGCCTGTGTAGATACTTCGGCTTGGCAAGTAGCCACTTCATTGTCGGTGCCATTTGGTCAATCCATATCGGCCTACCAGGCTGCCCTGTCCTATGATAGGATCATAATATGATATATATCATGATGGGTTACGATGACCATGCTACACCGAGTCTGCTTATATATTTCGATGCAGATACTCAGCTCTTTCTCTCCCATACACGACAGAAAGAAAACCTGGAATTCTACTAACAAGGCTTCTGCTTTGATTTTTGTCCCCCCACATGCTAGGTGTATATTCGAAGCACAGATGTGGACCGGACTCTGATGAGCGCCATGACAAACCTCGCAGCCCTGTTTCCTCCCGAGGGAACCAGCATCTGGAATCCCACCCTCCTCTGGCAGCCTATCCCCGTGCATACTGTGTCTCTGTCTGAGGATCGGGTTGGTATATTCTGGGAGATGCCATGGGTCGGGAGGAGGAGGGAGGATTCCCGGGGAGAAGGAAGACTGTCTGTCTGCTCAGGACCTGTGGCTGTACCAATCTCCATATGCCTCTGGGTAGTGTTGCTTTAAATTTTGTTTTATTAGCCAGGCACCAGTGGCTCATGCCTGTCATCCTAGCTGCTCAGGAGGCTGAGATCTGAGGATCTCGGTTCAAAGCCAGCCAGGACAGGGAAGTCCGTGAGACTCTTAGCTCCAATAAACTATTAGAAAACCAGAAGTGGTGCTGTGGCTCAAGTGGTAGAGCACTCACCTTGAGCTGAAAAGCTCAGGGACAGTGCCCAGGCCCTGAGTTCAAGCCCCATGACCAACCAAAAAAAAAATGTTTTTAAGAGGGAAAAAAATAAAACAATCCTATAAAAACCAGAAACTGTATCTACCAACAGGGTATTCCTATTTAGGCACATTTATGAAAGTTGGGAAAATTAAAAAAAAATTCTACAGGTCAAGGTATATATCCACTAGTTTAAGACCCACAGGCCATTTGAACTTGTTCCCTCCAACTTTAAACTTTCCATGCAGCTCGAAGCACATTTGGATCTTTTAGACCTAATGAGGTTTGAAATTTTGGCATCGTTTCTTTGGCAAACATCTCCGGCTAGCTAAGCCTTTGGTGATCTGACTTCTTCTGTTTTTCAGCTGCTCTACCTGCCCTTAAGGAACTGCCCCCGTTTCCAAGAACTTGAGAGCGAGACTTTGAAATCGGAGGAATTCCAGAAAAGACTTCACCCATACAAGGTTAACAGTGGCATCATCTTGTGGGGGTGCTAGCCTCTGAGGGCCAAAGCAAATGATGAATATTTGGTTTCTTGGAAGGGCACCCTGAGCCAGGCTTCAGTGGTTTATGCCTGTAATCCCAGATACTTGGCAGGCTGAGATCTCAAGATCACAGAAGGCTACTTGAAATACTACTTTTCTATGTGTGTTTTCCTCCTCCCTCCCCCCGCAAAACAGTATATTTTTCCTTACTTTCTATTACCATTTTTTGGGGGGGGAGAGGGTCGGTTGTGGGGCTTGAACTCTAGACCTGGGCGCTGTCCCTCAGCTCTTCAGCTCAAGGCAAGTGTTCTACCACTTGAGCCACAGCACCATTTCTGGTTTTCTGGTGGTTTATTGGAGGTAAATGTTTCACAGACTTTCCTGCCTGGGCTGGCTTTGAACTGTGATCCTCAGATCTCAGCCTCCTGAGTAGCTAGGATGACAGGCATGAACCACCGGCACCTGCTTACTTGCTATTATCTTAAAGATGAGTTTGGGACTTTAGTCATGTATCTACTTTTTTTTTTTTAATGAGTTTAGGCTATATTTACAATGATATGCCTCTGGCTTTCTTACATTTGCACACTTCATTTTTTTTGGGGGGGTGTCTAGTCGTGGGGCCTGAACTCTGGGCCTGGGCGCTGTCCCTCAGCCCTTCAGCTCAAGGCTAG